GAACACCATGATCTTCATGATTCTGGGGGCGTCGATCGTGATGGTGAGCGGAGGGGCTTCCCGCGCGCGTCCCCCTGCTCTCAACGCCCGCGCGCGCGCCGCCTCCCCCCACCTCGGTGCCTTGTTTACCGGCCCGCGCGGCCTGCGCCGCCCCCTCCCCGGCCTGCAATCCCCGCACCCTGGCCTACTCTGCCCCTTCGCCGACCTGCGCTCCGCACTCCTTGGCCCCTCACTCAGGACTGCGCTTCCAAGCCCACTGCCCTGCGCTCCCCCCTCCGCGCTGCGCTCCCGCGTGCCTCCGCCCTCGGTGCCCCCCACCCCCAGCCGCCAGCTCCTCGCTCTGACCGGTCATGGGCTCTTCCAGGCCATCGCGTGCTTGATGGACATGAACGCGCTGCTGGACCGATTCCACAACTACATCCTCCCGCACCTGCGGGGCGAGGACCGCGTCTGCCACTGCAACTGTGGCCGGTGAGTCCGCGCCCGGCGCTGGGCACGACACGCGTGATCACACATGTGCGGCTGGGCCCATTCGGCGCCAGCAAGCCCCACGCAGGCTGGGCTGCAGAGCGGCGAACGGCGCTAGGCCTGTGGGGCTGCCAGGCAGGCCTGCCAGGTGCGCTGGGGGAGGGGCTTTCTGACCAGAACCCCCAGGGTTGGCTGAGTGATCTTCTGGTTGGGAGAGGCATGCCTGAGTCAGTTAGGACCCCCCACCCAAATGCCTTTAGAAAAAGGGCCTGCCAGGGCGATGGTGGAACCTGCCTTTAGGGCCTCCTGGGCCTCTCCTGGAGGCCTGAGAAAAACAGCTAGGTCTGGTGTCCACAGTGGAGGCCCAGCCTCTCAGGAAAGATCCTGTGCTGGGGCAGTAAGCGCCTTCCGCCTACCGGAGTACTCTGTCCTCCTCCTGCGCCCTGCAGTGTGTCTATGGACTTTCTTGAGATCCTAGGGCAGGGACGCAGTTCAAGGCAGGGGGGCCTACTTTGAGGGGCACCTGGCACAACCCCCTCAATATACAGAGGAGACACCGAGGCACAGGTGGGGGTGGGAGGCCAGAGCTTCCTCAAGGTCACTCAAGAGAATGTAGGGAGAGCTCAGGCCCCCCCATTATTGCCCAATGACCTCCCCGTTTGTGCACGTGTAGTGATGCAGTCTTCCTGGCCATGCATGTTTGTATGTCCATGTATGAAATAAACATCTTCTCATGAGACGCGCATGTGTGTACCGTCTGTGCATATACATGTGCGTACACACCGTGCACGCGCACGTACGCATGCACTCTCATCCCCACAACACACCCTCACGCGGTGACCCTTGTTTTTCCTGCAGGACAGATGAGGAAGCAGATGGAAGCTTTAGAGGCTAGACTTACCCAAGGTCACACAGCCAGTGAAGGATGGGGACACGAACCCCAGAACCTGTGTTTTCCCATCCCTGCCCTGTACTGCTGCTCTAGGGATCCATGTGCAACACATGATGGGTGTAGGGTGTGTCAGGAGAGTTAAATGTTTCGCTAAGTGTGTTACATACCTATCAGAGCAGACATGAGTTGATGCAGGACATGAGAGTTAGAGCAGGCAGAGGGAGGCATACTTCACCCTCACATGTACTGGATATGGACAGGAGGGAGTTTGCTGGACAGCCACATGTCCCCAGAGAACCCTGCGGATGCACACAGCCTGTCCAACATGTCTGAGGGCTCAGGAAAGGCACAGGGTCGAGCCCCAGGCAGTTGTGAGTGGATGTCCCTGGGGTGATGCTGAGCTCCTTCCAGAGGGTGGCTGTGGGTAGGCACTGCCCCACACTCTGTGCTCTGTAGACACACTGTTTACATGTATGTGACTCTAGTGACCAGCTTGCCCATAACAGCACAGCAAGGGCTCCCTTGACCAGAGAGTACGGGTTTGAAGTATGTTTGCACAGGGCATGTACATGCATTTCATGTAGCATCCAGAGTACCTGGGGACTCGTGTCATACAGGTGCCTTTGGAGCGCAAGCTGAAGCTAGGCCCGTGTGCGTGGAAAGAACATGGAGAGCCACACTCGCTATAGACATGGAATGTTTCTGCCTGTGTATGTCTACATGTATATGCACCACACACCTCCACATACAGGAGTAAATATGTAAATTCAGCATGGAAAGACTCTTGCATATTGCTAACACATATGTGCATACACAGTTCACATATAGAATACGAGTGCAGAGTGTGCAGGGAAAATGGGACATGTCTCCATGTGGGTGCCCCAAATGTGTATGCAGATTATTTTTGCACATGGGTATCCATGTACCATGTACATGCATGTACACTATATACATGAACCATGTACACTCTGTACACACACACTGCCACAATGGACTCTACCTATGTGTTACACACTGTGTGCAGAATAAGCGTGTATACATGTGTGTACCTTGTACATGACTATGAATTTTGTATGGAAAATGTGTTTGTAAACTAGTGCTCCAAAGTACACGTCAGTGGGCAGAGTCTGTCCATGTGCACACAAACCCCTGTCTATGACATGGCATCCCACAGGAAGGCCAGCTGTGTGCAACGCCGAGTGAATGTGCATCCACGTGTGACATGCACCATGCTCGTGCCTGGAAGTGTGCATAATGCACGGATGTGGTGCCCGTCCACAGTATACACGCCATGTCTTGTGCATGTGGCCGGCGTGTATACACAACATGCATTGGCCCTCAAGTGGACACATGCAAGATACATGTATGTACAAGTCACAGACATACGTGTGCACATAGCACATCTCTGCTGAGACCTGTCCCATCTGCCTTCACTGCGGAGGACCGCCCCTGCCCCCAGAAGCTTGACTTGGAGGAAGGAGAGGGTCAAAGACAGGCACTATGGATGCCCAGGCCAGAGGGCACCAATCGTGACCTCTCACCTCCCAGAGGTCCTGACCCCGGGTGGTTGAGGACCCTGCCTTGCCTGACTTGCAGGGTGCCCGGGGACATTTCTACCTTTTTTGGCAACTTGGTCTTCAGGTTCCCGGCCATGGCCAGCCGTACATCAGGGTGGAAAGCAGTGGTCCTGAGGATGACCATGACAAGAGTCCCAGGCCCAGCATGGCAGCCCCGAACCATGCATGTGGCTGGCAGAGACCCCGGCCAGGGAGAGCTTGTGGAGGCCAGAGGAGGCCGCACATTCTGAGGGAGGATCATGAATTTTTCTTCAGAGATGAGGGATAATGGTTATTGACCAGTTCATGATCAAATGCATGACAGCTTCCGGGTGTCAATCAGTTATCTTTCATCACCTGGCCAAGGGCCGGCGATCCCAAGCCTACCCGCTGGGCCTGGTCACACTCTGGACATGCTGAGGGATTTGGAGAGGCTGGAGAGGGGGCTGCTCCTTCCTGTCCCTGCTAGCCTGGGGTTGGGGCTTGAGGATCCACTGACCCCCCAGGAGTAAAGTGTCCCCATGTCTGCTGCTGGGGGACATTGGCGAGGGAGGGCAGCAAGGGCCCTGGGGGTAAGGAGAACCAGTCAGGTTTCCAGAGGGGGCCTCAATCAGGCGGTGGTGCTCGCATCTCACTGAGGGGAAGATGAGGAGAGGAGCTATTTTTAGGCACAAGTTTGAGGTGTCTTTGGAGCCCACGTGGAGACGAACAGGCAGCTGGAGCTTGGAGCAGCCATGGGGGGCGATGGACCGCAGGAACCGCCAGGAGAGGCTGCGAGGGGCTTGGGGAAGAGGGGGCAGAAGCAGCCACAGGCGGAGGACTTGGGGGGGCCCTGCACTCCGGCCAAAGGA